CATTCGATTCCCACCCTACCTCCCCTTCGTCGGAATATCCGGCAAGAAGGAACTGAGGTGGGGCAGTGCCAGCAGGGGTACTTATGCCCCGCCATGGCGGCGCCACTCCAGGGGGCGCCCCGCCGGCGCTACAGGTACCGCTAGGGAAAACGCTCCGGAAGACGTGGTGCACGCAGCGCGCACACCTACTTCGAATGGACATGAGCAACCACTCGAAGAAGAATTCATTTACTGGGACCCAGTTACTTTCCTTTCTCACAGGGATGTCTGGAGACTAAGAACCTCACAAACCTCAATGTGTTTAGATACTCTGGTCATAAAGATTTTTTAAGTATCTTAGATTTAGTTATTATAATAGCTCATTTTAAAGAAAACATGCATAAAATATAGGTTGAACTTCTCTAGTCTGGCACTCTCTGGTCCAGCAACATCCGTGGTCCTGCATGATTTCAATTAGCTGGATGTCCACTTATCATGGGGGTGGTCAAGTTTCCCATGATCCCATAAAGTTTGTTTATAGCCACCAGGCCTGGCTCAGTGTTCTGTGCTATTATTTAGCTCTAATTTACCCCTGAATGTCTTCTAAGAGCCCAGTAAGCCATGGAAGTGCTGGTAATGCTGCTAGATCATATTGGCCTCCTGTGGATCAGCAAATCTTCTGGTTTGGCACCGTCAGGTCCCGAAGGTGCCAGACTAGAGAGGATCAACCTGCCCATTATTGAAAAGATCCTATATTCCATCTGCACACTATGGTAATGAGCTAAGCCAGTGGTCCCCAACGTGGTGTCCGCAGGCGCCATGGCGCCCGCCGGGCCATTTTTGTGCCCCCTCTGAGTGATCGGGGCCGGACCCACCCCCACCCCCGGGCACGTGGCGCATGGGCAGTGCCGGCCCCTGGGTGCGCAGTGTATGGGCGGCCCCGCCCCCAGGTGCACAGCGCAAGGGCTGTGCTGGCCTCCGGCACGCGGCGTATGAGCGTCCCTGCCCCTGGGCATGCAACACAGGAGCAGCCCCAGGCGCGTGGGGCATGCGCGCTGCCAGCTCCTGGGTGTGCGGCACAGGAGCGGCGCTGGCCCCGGGCATGCAGCGCATGGGCTGTTCTGGCCCTGGGCGCACGGCATATGGGCGGCCCTGCCCCTGGGCGCATGGCACAAGAGTGGTGCTGGCCCCGGGTGCATGGCATATTGGCAGCCCCACCCCTGGGCACAGGAGCAGCACCGGCCCTGGCAGGACAACACATGGGTGGCCCCGGCACCGGGCACGCAGCATATGGGTGGCCCCGTCCCCGGGTGCCCAGCACATGAGTGGCCCCACTCCCAGGCACCTGGTGCATGAGTGGCCCCACTCTCGGGCACCCGGTGCATGAGTGGCCCCACTCCCGGGCGCCTGGCAGCCCCAAAAGGTTGGGGATCACTGAGCTAAGCAATGCAGTTTACCCATTTTAAATGGTAGGAGTGGTTTCCCTCAGTTTTGTGTCCAATAAAATTAGAGAGCAGGACACAGGATTCATACTTAAAAAGCACTTTCTCAGGATGGGCCATGGCTCAACCCACTAAGTGCTCAAGGGCCCAAGCCTGCTGCCGCTTAAGTCCATGAGATTCTGGCCATAGACTTCAGTAGGAACATGGGCCCCATGTCACTTTCAATTATGTACATTCTCTTTCCCAAAGCATCTCAAACTTCAAACCCAGAATAATGTTTAAGAGAGCCCCAGATTCACCAAAAATCCCCTTCACTCTAGAGAGATTCGTCCCCTTCACCTAACCCCCTTCCACCTCAAGACAGCTTCCTAGCAGTCCTTCCCCCACCACATGCTCTGATCTGCCTCTTTCTTACTCCTGAGTCATTCATCTTTCTTGCAAGGGAAGCAGGGAGCCAGCTGCTGGCAATCAGAGTACTTTTGCTCCATCCGCGTCCCCTTCCAAACTTGGGATTTCAAATCTGTCCCTGTTAATGTTTAGAAAATGTTGCTCCTTGATCTTTTCATATGCATCTCTTGGGTTCTAATGCCTCCCCCACTGCTGTTTTTTTAAAGGTCTTCTTTATGTCTGAAGCTCTTATCAACTCTTTGGAACAGAATACACTACTGATATTGTGGGAGACTTGTGTCATGTCTCACACCTCCTGGGTACCAGGCCACATCTTCTTACTAAATAGAAGGCTTGAGTCACAAGATTCTGTTCGTTCCTTCCATACTGCGGAGGCCCAAAAACAAAATTAATAAGATTTAGGTATGTATTTTTTAGAGTTCTGAATTACGGATGGAAGCGAGATATAACCATGCGCTAATCAACAGAGATCAAGTCTCCACCTTTTGGAAAGGGTATGAATATTTGACACGCTGTATTTATTTTAATCTGAGTATTGTACAGTCCAATTCTTGGCAGGTCTGGCCATCGCTGGCTGGCAGACTTGTGCCTGTCCTTTGTGAGTTGTAATTGTGCTTGACCCTGCAGCAATTGTGCAAAGTTATGTGAGAAGACAGTCTCTTCTATTGGCATCTGAGAGTTGATTGTGTCATTGCATTGGTATCATTGGGTGCTGATAGCATAGTAGGTTAAGTACCTAAAAACAACAATTCTTAGCTTTTCTGGGGTGCTTGTCTGTCGATCTCAAAATACTTTATAAAGGGATGGAACCACAATTATTTCCATTATGTGGCTGGGGAATATGAAGAAGTCCATAAACATAAAACAGGTCAGAGTCAGTCAGAGCTGTCAGAGTCAGGTCAGAGTCAGTCAGAACTCCTAATGTTCTTAGCTCATTGTGCTCTTCATCAAAAAAAGCACCTGATTTATCACAGATAACCAAGCAGTGGTAATGCCAACTTCAACTGCTCAAAAATCATAGGTGGGGCTTACCAAATATCATGATTGGCTTTAAAACCATGAGATTATGTAAAAATAATAGCCCTGGTGTTCTTTGTATTTGCCTTTTGCGTTTTGAGCCTGGAGGGTGCACTGGGGTCACATTCTCACCCACTAAGGTTAGAAATGTACTTTTTCTTTAAGAATGAAAGCTGAAGCCATCACACAGCCACTTCACTTCAGAAGCCAGGGCTTTACTGACAACAATCATTATCACGAGACACATGGCAAAATCAAGAGATTTGGCTACAATGAAGGAGTGTGTATTCACAGTTGGATTAAGGCAATGCAGCACCCTACATGCAACCCTACATGGGAGTCCCTGAGCCATTGATCTGCTCCTCTATGATTTGCCTGTGGCAAGTGTCATAAAAAAATCCCTTTACTAGACTGATGGAGGCTCTGCATTATTTGTCTTTGGGCCAACTGGGTCCCCATTCCTTGGGCTACTGTCTTCCGTTGTTAAGCAGGCTGGAATTTATCCTGAGTACTCAACTCTCCCCACCTGAGCAGAGGTGTCTTTGGGGTGGGGGCTCTTACTGACACTACCCCAGCAGAACCACAAGGCAGCCAGGACCAGCAGAGTGTCCT